TCCCTTAAAAAACATTTTCGTTACTCCGTTACCTTCAGGAGAGTAACGAAGTAACTAGATTAGTTACTTGTTACTAGTAACTAGTAACTGACTAATTTAGTTACTTGGTTACTAGTAACGAGTAACTAATCTCGTTACTAGTTACTAGTAAAGTAAAGGTAAAGTGCCACTCCTATTGACGACCGAATAGCCACGTAAAACAGTTCTAATTAAGAGGCCTAAATCACCCTAAAACAAAGCACATACAATATGGGTGAGAGTATTATCTCGAGTCAAACAAAATCAACTTTCATTTAAGATCTTCAAAACAGGAATCAAGGTTAAATTGTGAATTTTATCGGTGAAAAAGGTCTTAAAACCATAGAAATACAATTTTTATTTTTCGATATACTCAAATGTATGTCGATTTTCCGAATCTACTATACAAAAAGATTCTAACGAGACTTTCTGCAATAGTCAATTCAAAATTCAGACTAAGTATGCATCAGTACCAGTATTATGTTAAAAATACTGACGGACGATGACCGCTAATTGAGTTAAAGAAAAGCTTAATTACTCAATACTACTTAATTGATCAGTATGCCACCCCTGTAACCAATGGCAGATTTCCAAAACTTTTATTTGAACAAACTTCATATTCAATTACAATCACTTGATGAAGATGTTTCGTATAGTCTAGTTATCTAAGCCGAGAAAATTTTTTTGATGTCATTAAGATCCAACACGGTTCCCGTTGTGTTTTTTTCCTCGATCATCAAACGTTTGCAATGGAAACTAATGTTATATTCGCTGTTGTCATCAAAGCCTAAATCGAACGCGGAGACACACAGTCTTCCGCCAGACTTCGGTTTTATTGATTTATATCGATCTATGCCGGCCGGATCATCTGGATATCAAAATTTACTCGTGTCTCAGCAACTTATTTCGCCCCTCATTCGACAGAGAGCACGAATACGTCTTTGACTTTCAAATAAATCTCCACAACAAAAAATTTCTCATACTCAATTTCTCTTATCTGCATTTACTCGACTAGATATTTCCAAGAAACAATTGTAGTCGAGTCTACATCGACATAAAACTCGAGTTTTTTGAAAAATTTACTTTGCCCTTCATTTAAACCTCGACATACTACTTTAGTTTTTATGTGATTTCGTCGGATCCGATATCAAATAAAAAATCAAATTGTCTTTTATTTTCATATTCAGAATACATTTTTTCTGCATATTCGTTTCTCAGAACATTCTTTTGTTTAAAAAAAATTGAGACAAAAATGATTTTGACGCACTAGGAACTATGTGAACTTACCAGCATGCATAACTAGGAAATATAAGGGATTGAGGTCTCATATTTTCAGGTTATACTCCGGTCACCGAGCTCCACAAAGTGAGGATAAAACTAATCAGTTCTGATATCTTTCCCTCACTTTCTCGAAAACACGTTTCAGATATTTCTGATAACCTTTTTGAGTAATGATCTTGGAAAACTCAAAATAATTCAGAGTTTCACAGACTCTTCAAATGCTATATTAAAAATTCGTTCTACAGGATTTTGCAGAAAATCAGAACTGTTAACCTAGTTTTCAAAAAGCTTATATCCTTATATTCCATTCAGTTATTTCGTTGTTTGAAACTTTCTGAGGGCTTTTTTACACAAATTCGAAAAACCGATCTTTTTTGGAGTATGGCTCAGGATAGTTTGAAGGTTAGAGCTTATTTTGATATGCTAGTAGTATCATTTTACTACACCCAGGCCTTCAACCTAAGTCTGTAAGTTCAACTTCTCCAAGTATATAGCATTTATTTTGCTTTTCTTGTAATACTCACAAGCACAGACATTCAAGACAGCTCAAATCTCATTGGACACTTTTCTGTAATTTATTCGAGGTTAAAAACAAACCATTAAAGTTGACATTTATCATTGACTGAAACAAGCTCAATTCTCGACTTACTTTCCAAAATTGTACAATTGTATTTTTAGCTAATTCTTCCTTCGTCTTGACATCCTCTGTATCCGTATAGTTGTGCAATTTTGATCCGCCCATAATTTCATTCCAACCCATCATTCGTTTATTCGTGCCACTTGAGATAAAATTTGAAATTTTATTGGTAAACCAAACTTGTAGATCCGATGGTGTTTTTAGCTGATGAAGCGACATGAATTTGAGGATGTTGGGAGACGATTTCCATTGATCATATTTAACTTCATCACCACCTATGTGAATGACATTTGATGAGGAGAAGAGTGACATGACTTCCGAAAGAATATCATGGATGAAATCAATGACGCGAGGTGACGAAACATCGAAGACCGAGTAATGTACACCACAATGACCTAAATACAAAGTGGAACGAAAATGTGAGATGTTAGGTGAAAGATATAGTTTAATCTCTTTCTATAGCTTCCCGAGTTACCCAGAAAAAAAGATGTTCTTAAAAGTTTCTGAATATAAGAGATACAGTTCTGAGAGAGAAACGTCTCAGAATTACCTAATCATAGCCTTATTTTGTACGGCTCGGTCCATGGAGTAAAACCTGAACATATGTGACCTATACTCCTTATACCTTTCAAGTATGGGTCAGTCGAGGTTAGAATCATAGTTATGTCATTATTTTTCTGCCTTCACATCTTTTTGAAAACTGAATATGTGTAATAAATGTGAAAATGAATTTTAAATATGAATTTAAAGTAAGTCTACTTATTGGGCTTATACCCATCCCGTGTACATCAAACAATACCTTATGGCTAAATCTCAGATACACGCGAATTTTTTATACATTTTATACAAAAAGACGGCGAACAGATCACCGAAAAGGATTGAAACCTTTTCTCCTTAGTTTCGAGATTTTAGACCAAACCAAACCAACATTCGTAATCTTCGTCGAATTTCGGATCGAATGACGAATTAGTCAAGCGATTTACCTAGTTAACAGTTTCGACGATCACAGATCGTCTTTACGAAGTCATACGGGTTCTAAAAATTCGTTTGTGTCCAAGGAACTTATTATACTCACTGTTAGACCGAGAATTCCATGAAAGTTAAGGTTATTTCTTAATTTTCGGTGACAAACCTTTAGCAGATATACGACGAAAAGCTGAAACCTTTTGATCTTATTGCCTCTAGTTCTGCATATTCACTTTTTCAAAAGGTTTCGAGGGAGAAAAAATTATATGGCAAATACACCCTTGAGATACTGTATTACTACCTTGACATGCACAAAGAATTCAGAAACTCATATTTTCAGGGGATCGACACCCACCATAGTATAATTTATGCAGAAAATTAGCCATTTCTGAGGAGTTTTATACCTACATCATTTTCTTAGAAATATGCTCTTAAAGTTGCGTTCGAAGATTCAAAAACCTGGAATGTTTTTTTGAAAAACATATACGCCGAAACAGAAATTTGCATCAGAAACTTTTTCACCGAATTCTATTATCGCTACAAGTTCCAAAATCTGCAAAACGGTCGAGTCACCTAAGTGTGACTATTCGTAAACGTATCTCCAAAATCGAATACATACCGGGGACTTCAATGTTTTTCTGTTTCGTACATCCAAGCCAGGGATAGGCCGCAATGGCTGCACTAGCATGTCCGGGCATTTCAATTTCCGGTACAATCGTGATATATCGATCTTTGGCATACTGGATCAAATCTCGAATTTCTATCTGTGAATAGAAACCCGAATGATTCTGATAAACATAGTCGGATGAATTAAAACCACCGATTTGTGCCCTGGATCGACGTGAACCAATTTCTGTAAAGAAGGAATCAGAACTCAATGTCAGTAGAGACTTGAAGAACTGATTTTGCATTAATCACCTGAAATATGGGCACAGCTGCCAATGTTCGGGGATAGCTGTTTTTGTTGTGGGAAAAACGGGAATCGAGAGGCTGATATGTTAGTTAGTACAAGTCGAGTGATATGACATGTCAAAACGTCTAAGTCGTATACAAACTAACTCTCATGTAGAAATATGTGCCTAGCGCTGAGAGCCAATGCAACTTAAGCCATAGTTGGCGAAAGTCAACTAGAACTTCGCCAATACATCCCATGGTCAGTCGCCTATCGGCGAACGTCTAGTTGATGAAAGTTTTAGTGGCGCACCACCATGAGTTAATAAAAAAACTCGAGTGATTTTCCGTTCTCTAAGAATTGTACGATATTCTACAGTACCTGTGAGTTTAGGATACTTTTTAATTTCAATCCTCCAACCCTGATCATCTGTTAAATGCCAATGAAATCGATTCATTTTTAATGCGGCCATTTCATCGAGCAGTTGTTTAATGGTGGAAATATTACGAAAATGACGTGCAGAATCTAACATAAAGGAACGCCAGACAAAACGGGGACGATCTATTATTTGAATACAGGGAACAGTTAACTGAGGAACGTGGTGACCAGGCCTGAAAAGCAACGGAAATGAAGAAAGCAAACGGTATGAATATTTTATGCAAAAGAGCTTTTTAAAAGGAAACAAAATGTTAGTTAGATGCAGATCGACCTTGTCCTGCCCTTCAGATCAAGACAAAACTAGGGCATAAAATGTATAGGGTAACACAGGACTAGATCTCAAGGTTCGAAGGGGCACAACATAGGTTTTTTTCTAAAACAATGCTAATGATCAATAAAACACAACAGTTTTATACAGTCAGTCACTACTGCATGGCGAAAAATAAGCCAAAGTATTCGGAGTATAAAACGTAAAGGTCTAAGCTAAACAATTGTTTCTAAGTTTTGCCGTCCCAGCAGCGTCTATCCTGCGAGGAAAAATTATCTCTTCTATTCTAGATCAAACTTTGCAGTTATAAATGGATTTCCACAACGAAAACGTAACATTTTATGGATTTTTTTGTACTTCTCTCCTTGGTTCCTGCTCTTGAATCTTCACAAATATTTCTTACCTTTGCTTATAGAATTTTGCATAATTTAGAAACTTATTATGTTTTCTTCAATAATTGTAATAATAAAATGACATAAACGTTTAGAATCTACCGGTTCATCTCCAGTATAAATGTTCGTTTTCACATTAATTTGTAGTCTGCTAATTTTAATTATACTGATGATTAGTCGGTAGATTCGAAACGTTTTTGTCATTTTGTTATTAAAATCATTGAATATAACGTAATAAGTTCCTAAAATTATGCAGAGTTCTGTATTTCTAAACGTCCTGCCATTAAATAATCATAATTGTTACCTTTGCTTAATTGTAATCAATTGTCTCACTGTTTGCAGTCCATAAAAAATCCCTCCTTTCGTTCTACTTCTAATTTCAATTCGTTTTTCATTCACGTTTAGCCGATAACCTTCTTCTTCTCCTTTTTCGTCCTCTAAAATCAATTCAATCTGACCATGGTCAGTCGTAAATGTTTCTCCAAAATTTGAAAAATAGGAAAAATCTTGTCGTAGCCAGTTGTGAAATAATTTCAATTCATTAGAGAAAGGAGATTTTGGATCGTACGAAGAGGAGAAGGTGAATATACAGCCGGCCGGAGATAGACGAGATGTTTGAAACGGTTGAGGAATGACGGGGAGACGAGAGCGGGATAGATTTAAATCGTGAAGCCTAAAAAATGAACCAGAAAAATTGCAATGATATCCGAAGAGAGTTAAAATGCTTACTTTTTGGATAGATACGGATGTAATTTCAATATGATAAATATGACTAGAGCGGCTAAACGGAAATAGAGACAAAGTCGAAATCTCACAGATCATACAGTTTGCTTTAGCAGAAGAGTCATTTTTTCAACTGTAAATTTTTCTTGTGCACCATAGTTTTCATTATTGTTTTCTTTCTGCTTGCATAGATAAAATCTATACAGATGAATTTTTTCTTCTTCTGATTTAATTTTAGAATACAAAATTTTCTCTATCATAGAAGGTGAGCAACACGAAAATATGAGTCGCATTTCGTTTTCTTTTACCATGATGGCACCTGCGTTTATAAAAAAAAAATTCCAGAGAGTCGAAACCGTATGGATAATTAGAGCTTTCAGACAATTAAAACCGAAATTACGATTCGAGAAATGATTTTTTACTTACCAACGCAAATGCGTTTCCGATGAAGTAAAGGTCGACAGCGAAAAATAGACAACATTTCTTCATTGATCAAAATTCTTCAATCACAAGAATAGAACTGCAACAAGTAGCGATTTTCTTTTCTATTTTGTTTTTCTGATTCACCTCTATATACAGCAGAATTCTAGTGTGTAAGTCTTCTTTTTCTGTATGTCACATATTCATATCCGAATGTGAACAATAGACTAATGTCGTATATGTGAGATAAAGATAAAGGCAAATACGCTAGAGTTCTAGTGTGATCATTACAAGTTTAAAACCTGCGTTATCAACTATGTTTAATACTCCTCTAGACTGTATGCGTTTGAATACATTGCAAAGTTCACGTCATAGTTAGGGGTGCCACATTACCGTTACTTTTCCGAGTAATCCAAATATTGTATATATTCCTATTACCAGCAACAGTAATACTTTTCAGTTTTATTGTTGCTGGTAATAGGAATGTTCATCAAATTTGTACCAGCAAACAGTAAAACTGAAAAGTATTACTGTTACTTGATAAATTATTTCAAGGTGGAGCAGTAGAAATAAATCTAGAAATTATTGAGTATAACACTGCTACGAAAATCATGATAGATTTTTAACAAAAATCAATTTATGATTTATTCCAGCTTTCGATAAGACACTTATGATCATCAGGAAAAAAAAGTGAAATACAATCTCTGTATATATAGTATGCGTGCTAATTATGATATTAAATGTAATGACTATTATGGAGAGTATCTTGGTAAAACTATTAAGCAAATGAGTCGCGGAACTAACGAACATTAGAAAGACGTGGACAAAGCTATGATATTTCTCACTAGTAGTTTATCTCAGAATAAAAACAAACGGAATGCAAAAAAACAAATAATTAAACCACAAAGTCAAGTTAATCTGCGACGTAGTGATCGTGTTGCTAAGAGGAACGTGTTATCAGTTGTTTCAATATAGTTATCACTAGTATTAGAAGAGTTTCAACCAAAATCTGCTTTAGAGAAACACGTAATAAAAACAGGACATTCAATTGATTTCAAGAATATTTCGATTATAGAACGAGACAATAATCGTTATAGGTTCTTGGTCAAAGAATCTCTTGCTATCAGATCAAAAGTTCTTATCTTTAATATGACTGATAGATGAGTTCCACTTTACGTTTTTCCAGAAGGTCATTTCAATACAAATGTGAACAGAAATAAAAAGAAAAAAAACAGTAACGTTCACGAACAGTTTTCTTACTTTTCTTTCTGTTTCTCCAATGACTTATATATGTTACAGGGAATGTAGGAAATCAGGGAATGTATACATTCCCTGGGGAGTCTATACATTCCCTGACATTTGTAGGGAATGTGTACATTCCCTAGGGAATATTCACATTCCCTGACAGTGCTCAGGGAATTTGAGTATATGGCATTGAAATTTCTTTTGGAATATAATCAATTGATAAATTGATGTTGGAAGTTAGAGTAGAAAAAAAAACGTAAAATTTAGTAATCTGTTTCTTAAAATTATGTTCGATTAATCTCTTTTCTTTCGATGCGACACATTGATATGATCAAATGTTATTCTTTCAACTGAACAAAGTAAAATTTAGTTCCCTAATTGATAATGAAGAAGGATTTATGAAGAAGGAATTATGTAGACAACAAATTATGTTTTATTTTTACATGGCATTGATGAATGACAACGAGAGTTACATGAAACAGAGTTCTTTTTGCATTTGCACCTGTTAGTTTCACAACCACGACGGCAGTCACAATGAAAAAGTCCTTGACCACCAACTAATGATTCATTAGCTACAATTGAATGACGTGGTAATGACGTACTATCTACTGCAGTTGGTTTTAAAATGGTTTCACAATGTTCAAGATCTTTTCGATTATATTTTGTGTTAATAGTACCACCACGACAACCAATAGTGTGTAAACCATTATGATCTACATTGACGACCACACCTGAAAAGAAATAAAGGCTTAGATCTAATTGAAACTGATAAACCAATAGACACAAAAGTTGAAAATATTGTACAATGAAAAAGAGAGCATTACCTAATATTGTCAAAGGATCGACACGAGATCTATCAACTGATGGTATTTTCATGCGCACATTATCACCTATATGTAATGGTGACAGAGTTTCAGCTCGTGCGGTCATTCTTTTAGCTTGCTTTTCTTGACCAGTATTAGCTAAATACCAACAGTATTGAATTCGTACTCTAGTAAAATATAATAACGCTGCAAATCTTACCTATATTTCTATTTTCGTTTCTTTGGTAATCCAAATAACAACGTTCACATGATAAACCGTTTGTGCATGCTAGATGCACTAGTTGCGTACAATCTTTGCAAAAAAAAGCTTCTGACATATTGATAATACGGCACGTACATACATGGCAAATACTATCATGCTCATCATTATTATTATTTTCAACTTCCATATCATCATCGGTACCATTATTAACGCTGGGCACTATAAAAGAAAACATCAACAAAATCCAGCAGGAAAAAACTTCGGAAAAGTACCAGTTTTATCAGTATTCGAAGCACTGTTGCCATCAGATAATTCAATATCACTACTTGAATCAGTATCACCGCTTGGATTAATACCATATTGCCCAATTAAAGCAAGCAACTCTTCTTCTTTTGTCAATCGATCAATTGTTGCTGATGGTAAAGGGAGAGATGAAAGGCCAAGTTTTGGTGCACAGCCAAACATTACGGTTGTATTAATACCTGAAATTGGTACATAATACGTGTGAAATGCCATGGTTTTATTGAGAATATGATATTGTTAAAATGTTACAACTACGTCTAAACATACCGCTGTGATGACTGGTATTTTTCTGGTGCATTACAAACGGCAACCCAGCTGACCATTTACTTGTTTTATTTTGTTTCATCCAAATTGCCAGTTTCCGTTCGACATCATCGTTTGCTTTTTCCACGCTCCCTTGACTTTGTGGATGCCGAGGTCTTCCATGACATATTTTCAAACCTATAATCATATGTATGAGCAACTAAGTAATAACAATGCAAAAGAAAGTACGTTAACTTACCTGGCCATAATTCTTTTACTTCTTCAACAATTTCATTAACAAATTCACGACCATTATCCGACTGCAATATGCATGGTGCACCGTACATACAAAACATTTCAACTGAATGAACCGCAACTTCTGCAGCTCTTTTCGATGTTAATGGGCGCAATATAATAAATTTTGAAAAATGATCTTGATAGTTCATTACAAAACGAAAACTGCCGTCTGGCCTGGATTGGTAATCAATGAGGTCAACCTAAATGGAATGGTAAACTCAACTGAACGTGGGTTTCGCTGAAAGCAACGACTTCCGTTAGAAGCTGTCCAGATTTAGCTTATCGAGAGACACCTTGATAGATTCAATCTTAACATACTTGGCTTCTTGACAAAATATGATGTGACCGTATTGGGTTTGTGACCACTTTTGGTAAACATATGGGTTTCTTTCTTTGACATTCTTCGCAATTTTCATATAAATTTCAACACATTCTTCAGTAATATTAAAATATTTCGATTTTATTTCTTTTAACGTACGATCTCTACCACCATGTCCTATTCGTTCATGTGCTTCATCAATTATGTCGAACATTTTCGAGGTATTAACAATATAAAGTATATTGTCTTGTGAATTCGGAAGACGCTTAATGAGGCGTTCGTCAGTACCGATTATTAATAATTCAAATTTCTGTAATAATTTATAATCAGATGTTTCTTTTCGTTCTGCTGAATTATTAAGTAAATTGTTTTAAAACTTTAATCTATTAATTATTTCCATGTATCTCTCTGGTGTAATATGAATATTATTTTTAGATTTATGATTTTCAAGCAAATTATTAAAACGACTAACAAAGTTTCTTTCATAATTTTATACGTAATAGCAATTGTGTTACCTTGAACCTATTCATAGGCTCTCAAACAAAAAATTTAACTTTTCAACCTGCTGAACTGTCTGGCGTTTTTCTATTCTTTCATTTCCAGATTAACTCAGTCTAATCATTTACAGCTTAACCGTTTAAAGAACATCATAATCCTTCTTCATTATCAATTAGGGAACTAAATTTTACTTTGTTCAGTTGAAAGAATAACATTTGATCATATCAATGTGTCGCATCGAAAGAAAAGAGATTAATCGAACATAATTTTAAGAAACAGA